TTGTTGGCCACACGATCGTGGGAACAAATGAGGAGTCCCAGCTGCACCAGCCAGGGCCACCCTAGCGGGTATTTGGAACGGAGTAGCGGCCAAGCCTCCGCAAGACCGCGCATTTCCCCCGAGTTCCATACTGATCATGTCTTGAGAATTTAGAGGAGTTTCACTTCTAATTCTTACTTTTTAAAAATTACCTATTGTCCATTCACAAAAATAGGTAAAAAGTTCTGAAGAATATGTCAACTAGGAACTGGAAATTTTATCTTGGAAAATATTAGTATAGAGGAGATATTTTAGCTATCTTAATGTTTGAAAGACTGACATAAAAGTAATGATTCTGTTTTGTTATGGAAGGCAGAATTAGTGATTTTTAGATAAGTATTTGTAAAATAGAGTGAGGCAAAATGATAAAGGGCAAATAAAATATGGATGTTAGATTGCTAAGAAAGCCTAGCTTCAGGTGACTACCGACTGTAGGATTGTTAAAAATATTAAATATTTATGTTGAAGTATAAATTGTATATATGGTATGTGACAGGCACAATATTAAGTATAGTGAGGAATGACTTTCTACACACACACACACTCACACACACACACACACCAACCTAGAATGAAACGAACTTTCCACAGCCTCAGATGGTTGCCTTATACTCTTTTCTAGCCAATAACGGCCATCCAACCCAGAAATAACCATTTTCCATATCCCTATTGTCAAATACTAGGTTTGTAGATTTCATGCAACCACCTCTGAGACACAGCTAAGCAGTTTCCAGTGAACATTTGCCTTCTGGTCCAGCAAGTCCATTTCCTGCTGCATATCCGAAAGAAATGAGGTTTTTAAAGCTTACATAAGGGCACCGCAGCAACCATATTCACAGCAGCCTAAAGCTGGAGAATAATGCGAAGGTCCGTGGCAAGAAAATAAACAGGTAGTACACTGACAGAAAGACGTAGTGCTCAGCAGTGAAAAAGAATGGCGTAATGCTGCATGCTGTGACGGGGGTGCGTCTTAACATCGTGCTGAGGGAAAGAAGCCGGGCGCAGAAGAGCTCACACTCTGACTGCGCTTGTGTGACATTCAGGATTGCAGCTTTTAATGAAAAACTTCCAGACGATTCGATTTGCATGCCTAACACATTTGGAGAAATTTCTTCCCCTTTCAGAAGAAGACTTATATGACCATAAGATGGCAAAGAAGTAGAAGGAAAATTGAACAAATTCCTGCAGTCACCAGCTTTGTTTAAGTGAAAAACACTTAGTGTTCCTTGTTTCTGCAGTGAATAATAAAATTACATGAAATCTCATTTCCTGTCTTTTTATTTCCTCCTTGAATTCTAATTCTTTTCTTTCTCTTTTTGGCTTTTGGTGCTAGAGATTGAACCTAGGGCCTTATCCATGCTGAATACACATTCTACCACTGAGCTACATTTCCAGCTGAACTCAAATTATAATTCTTTGTTTTTTGAGTTCAGGCTGGCCTTGAACTTGCAGCAGTCCTTCTGCCTCAGCCTCTCAAGTGCTGGGATTACAGACGTGTGCCACCATATTTGGCTTCTAGCTTCTGCTTCTTAAAAGGACTTTTGGGTAATGATAGCCACTTAACAAAAGGCAGAAAGTACTGCAAATGTATGGTCTGTTCATACAAAACTAGATGTTTCATTTAGAAAGATTTTTGTGTCTCTTCCTCAAAATACAGTGTCTGAACAAATTACAGGCAGTATTGGGCAGCAAGTGGTTTGCTGTTTTGCTCTGCTCAGAATTTCAGATATTGCCATTTTTATCACTACTGGATAGCCATTTTCTTCATCTTATCATTGCATCCATTTTCTTAGTGATAGAAGCATGAAATCATAGTGGGAAGACAAAACCAGAAAGAACAGATTAACATCACAAGGGGACACATGTGAGGAAGGACAGGGAGGGTGCAGGTAGAAAGGGGTGGCCCGGGGGAACTTCTCTGTGGTGATGGGACAGTCCTGCGTCTTGGTGGAGGTGGTGGGTACGTAAACCTAGATATGGGATGAAATTGCTTTAGACTTGCACGCTTGAACACTGTAAAAACAGTGACAATGGAGAAGGTCTGTAGTACTAATGTCAATTTTTTATTTTTGATATTATACTACAGTTTTATACGATGTCATCATTGCAGGAAGCTGAGTGAAGCATTCACAAGACTATTATTTTGACAAATTCTTGTGAGCCTCTCATTATAGCAAAATAATAAGTTTAAGTTCGTAATAGGCAATAATAATTATTTAGAGGGGCAGGAACGGAAGAGGTATGGTTCATGGTGAAAGCAGCTTATAATAACTTTCTCCTAATGGGTGTGTGGTTTTTCTTAAAAGTGAGACAAAAGAGAAGTTTCTGCACCTGATTTGGGTGCAAGGCTGCTGTTAGAGTAAAACGTGCTAAGAGGTGATGTCCTGCGTCAGGCACATTGCGAAAGGAGCACAGTCTCACCAGGGTGTTTAAAAATCGTTGTGTCTTACAGAGCTGCAGGCTGACCGCACTCGATGCCTTTGTGCTACCTGTGTCTGACTCCACCAATGCGTTTGCACAGGAACTTGCTTCAGATATTTTGTGGAACAGATTTCTTTCCTCTAGCATCCTTGTTATCCTTTAAAAATTTAGTTATTACATGTATATTATGGAAGGCGTTGGAAATAGAAAAAAAGTAGCAAAAATGGGCTATAATCTTACCAAGCGGAAGAATACTACTAATACTTAGTGAATTCTTATTTTGACCTTCTTATCTCTTTGTACAGAAATGCTTCTGAAATGAATACTCACACTTCTTATAAACTTACTTTACTTATTTATATGTGTACTTTTCCGCCAGATCGTTCAGGTGTGTCCACCCTCTAACAGGATGGCTCTGTGGAGTTACGCACTGTGAAAGTGTCGCACCTTAACGCCTTGCCTGTGATTGGACAGTTAGGCTATTTCCACTTTTCAGTCACTAGGAACAATGTGCTGAACAGCTTGTGTGCATATTCGTGATTATTTCCTTAGAATACTCTTAGAAATGGAATTGCTGAGTAGGCAGAATGTAAAGGCTTTCACTTTATATCGTCAAACTTCTCTGTAGAAAGGCAAGCGCCATTTTTAAAAGTGGAAGTTATAAACCAAGACCTTATTTGAAGAAGATGCTCTACATGAAGGGAAATTAGTATCAGTTTCTTTAGAGTGGTTTATCCTTCCTAGAGACAAATTTCCATTAACAACTGTATTTTTTTACAGAGTTGACAGAAAACCACTGAAAATATCTAAATAAGCAAGTTATGCAAGAATATTTAACTGTTTTAAACTTGTTCAGTAGTAGCACAGAGTAACAGTGTAGCATAAAAGACGGTAGAAGTCGCGCACATGCCGCTGTGGAAGAACGCAGAGTTTTCACAGAGCTGCGTTTCAGCTTTTGAGACTGTTTAAAATCCAGGAATATTTACTTTAAAACTTTATGCCTATGCACATATGCCTCTTAGTTTACACACAATAAAGGATTAGGAGTTTTTGTAAGTGGAGAAGATAGGGGACCGTAGTCCTGGTGTTGCTGATTCCGGTTGCAGTTGTCTAGCTGTGAATGTCCTGATGAGGGGGGAGCATGCTTCTGGGTTAGAGATCTCCTTTGATTTGGCATCGCTAGTTCTTTGCTGGAACACCTCTGTTCTGTCTGTTTCTGAATTTCCAAGCGGTTGAAAATGTCTGTTTTTTTTATTAAAAGTAGTCCTCAAAATACAATTTGACCTCTCATTGAAAAGCTGAGTCCCTAACAGAAGGTGTTGACTGGCAGGGGAGGCTCTCCCTTGTGCTGAGGCCGTCGAGTGATTGTGATCATTGTCTTGTGCCTTGGCTCCATCCTGGGACTTTTCATGGACCCCCACTCCACAGAAAGGTGCCAACTTGACACAGGAGGAAGGAGGAGGGATGGAAACAAGGCTTGGATAAGTTTTAAAAGTATAAACTTGAAAAAGCCTGAGCTTTTAAGTAGAATGTGTGTTATCCAGTTTTATGCTTCTAAGAATGTTTATCAGGTAGACCTAGAGACAAGATCATTGTACCTTTGTAAACTCATCTGAATCTCACACCTGCTGTTCCTCCTTTTGAAATTTTCTATAAAACTGAAAGAAACATTTTTTGGTTGACAAATTAGACTTTACATGACAAGGGATTCATCATAGATTTGAGTGAACAAAAATTGTATTCTTTTCTAAAGATTTCATATGTACATATATAGCCTTGAAAATTATTTTATATATAGATGTATAATTAACTTTGACTTATATTTTTAACAATCACCATTAAAAGTTTCACATGAACTTTTTGGAAAAAATATATACACATATTTGGTGATACTGCAGCGTGAACCCAGAGCCTTCACATTGGATTACATCCCCAGGCTTATTTAGTTAGTTAGTTTTGAGACGGTGTCTCACCAAGGCTAACCTCGAACTTGTGATCTTCCAGTCACTAGAAGTGCAGATATATGCCACTATGCCTGTCTCATTTCTTGAAATTGAATTTAAGGGAAATTTAGTTTAAATTTGATGCTAAAAATAATTTATTTAACTGTGTAGAGTGTTTTAAAGTTAGGGCTTTTTTCATATCAGTCTTCTATATCCCTGTTGAACTATTTTTAAAAATGAAGTAGTCCTATTTACCTTTCATATTACAGGTATTCATGTAATACCTGAACATATATTTATAGCTATTCTCTGCTTAAATACAACGTATGAAAATACGTATTTTAAAATGGAAAATGATTACTGAAGAGTCAGTGTGGTGGATTTTAAACATGAATTAATCACAGAAACAAGAATTATTAGTTTCCCTTACCACTTTGATACATTCAAAGCTAAAGTTCTTATGTAATGTATGCATTAAAATATTCCTAATTTGTACTTTATTGAACTTACATAATTAAAATGCTCATGTATTAAAAATCATCATTACTCTTTTCATTACAAACTTACAAGAGTTCCTGCTTTCTTTTTCTCTAACAGATATAAGCTTACCAAAGTCGGCCACAATATGCTACACAGCTGCCTTGCTCAAAGCAAGAGCTGTTTCTGACAAGTAAGTGAGTAAGAACTCGCGTGGGACCGAAAGCCTGACCAGACTTGAGGAGACGTACTGACTCTGAGGGCTTTCTCTGGAAGTTTCTCTCAGTCTCTGAGACCCCTGCTTATGAGCATGCATTTTCCAAAGCCTGCTGATCTTTTCTGTCACTGCTACAAGGAGGAAATCTGCATTCCCCAGCCTTGTAGGGGTATGTGGGTCCCTAAAGAAGGAGTTACATGACATTCCATGCCTCTGAGGTGACTTTTTTTTTTTTGGTGCCAGACAGTAAATGCCGTGAGGCCTGCTTAGGACTTACACAGAATGTTCTTTATTCATTTTTGCATATTCCTCTTCCTATAGCCGTCCATAGCTGGGTAACGTAGTGCGGCAGAGGGGGCGGTCTTCTCCCATTCTCTGCCTCAGTACTTCCGAATTAGCTCCCCACTCGAGTTCTGCTTCCTTGGAGATGCTATCTCCATGGGACACTTGCCTGTTTTGTTCAGCCAGGTGACTGTGGCATACAGAATCTCCATAAACACCCACGGGTGACTGCTAGGTACCGTAAACGAGTACAGATGGCTTAACTGTTTTTGAGTTTATAAATGCTTCCATTTCCCTGACACAGACCCTCTGTAACATTGAAAAGCAGAGAATAGGAAAACACCTGCCGTGTCAGACAGGTTTGCTGTTAAGTGTGTGTGCAGTTCAAGACCGAAGTAATTTTCTTTCATTCTTTTTTATCCTGTAGATCGCCAGTACCTACTGCAACATCTTTTCTCCCTACACAGCGACTCCAGCTTGGGAGGGCAGGGCCAGGGTTGTCACAGCTTCCCCTGTGGTGTCTGCCTGCCAAGCACAGCTCTGGAGTTAGCCCTGGGTGTGAGGTGAGAAAGAGATTGCATGGTCTGGTTTTTTTCATTCACTTAGGCAGGTGTCTCGCCCGCAGTTTGGGCACGCACACCCCCTGCCGGAGCAGCCCCAAGCAGGCTCGCGGCTGCTGACGCTGCAGCAACTTAACCCTCCATCGCAGCACTGACTTTGGGTTGGGAGCCTCCTTTAAAATTCTCCCCAGTTCGGTTTTTAACCAAGTGCGCTCTTCTGTAACTTAGTTTTCTCTTTTTCCTACACTGTCCGCCCCTGTCAGTCCTCTCCCTTGTCCCCACCTAAGCAGGTACTTTGTAGAAAATTTAGATTAGCTATTTAGACAGAAAGACTTGACAGCTGAATGTAGTTCCTGCCATGATTAGCTACAAGCACGCTTTCCGCTTCCGCTGGGGTTTCTGTTGGCCTTGGTCTGATGGGTCACGCAGAGGCTCCGTGCAGTGGAAGTTTGGAGAGCTCGTGCCCTTGGCTCGCCTGGGTTGTATGGGCCCTTGACGTGTAGATGCCTTGCTGGGTTGGTTCCCAGGCAGTGGTCCCACCTGGATGGTGTTTGTCTTTCTGCTTTTCAGATTCTCTCCGGAGGCTGCCTCTCGGCGGGGGTTGAGCACTGCAGAGATGAATGCAGTAGAAGCCATACACAGAGCCGTGGAATTCAATCCTCACGTGCCAAAAGTGAGTCTGTGGAATCCCCCAGGAGCTCGTTACAGTAACAGAGAGAGCGCTCATTGACCACAGTGTCATGTCTCCAGTATTCCCAGCTTAAAACACAAAACAAAAACTGCAACCAACAAATGTGGAGGCCCTGCAGAGTTTATAATCATTAAGCCTTCTTTCTAAAGTAAAAGCTACAGTCAAGAGGCCTTGGGGCTGATGGTCAGGCGTCGTCACCTAATCCGTAGACCACACAGGCAGGCCAGGTCAGGAAGCCTGAAATTGGCTAAGTAAAGAGAGAGAGAGAGAAGGAATCTCTCTCCATCCCAGGACTTCATCCATTTGATAGGAATTTCACATCAGTTACAGCCTTATACAGACCAGACTCAGGAAATAAACCTTGTGAATAAAACTGATAAAAAGTACTGACAAATGTGACATTCCATGTCTCTGTAAGTAAATGGTAGTTAGTTGGTATTGAAAAGAAAATAATAGGGAAAACTTTAAAGTTAGTAGTATTTTGATGTGTGATTGCTATTTTAATAAGTGTATGTACAGTAGGAAATATTTGTCTTAGTTATTCGTCATATAATTCTTCAATTTAGAAGCACTTCCCATGTTTTATTTTTCTGAAATTGATTTTCAGGGAATCAGATTCAAGCAGAGGGTATTTCTGTAATCTTTTGTTCAGCAGAGTAGATGTGTGCTTATAGTTTACCCATGGTTGAGTACCTGGTCCATGCTAGGTATGTAGCTGAGGGCCCATTTCTGTTTCTTGATATGAAGTGCATCTTAACCTCTAAGAAACCACTCCTGCAGTTCACATCAGGTATACAAGACATAACTTGCTGAAGATTTACTGGTAAAAAGTGACAAAGGAAGTTTGTTGTGTTGCTGTGGTACTACAGCAAGGAGTGAGATGTGTGTATATGAGTGGTTTAGGGAGCTGCCTGCTGTATTTTTTTGATGTCTAGAGTGACAGAAATAAATGATCTAGTATATAGTAATTCTTGGGGTTTTATCAAGTTAAGGTCATTTTTTCACTTAACAGGGAATTAAAGACTGCACAGTGCCGTGTTTACATGAGGAGGTACTTGTGTACTCTCCCTCTAGTGGGTAATAACCAGTAGTATGTACAGACTTAAGTACTAGGGGCCCCTCAGAATTAGGAACCAAGTCTTACTTGCCTAATTACCTTGAACAGAGCCTTACAATCCTGAGGTAAAAGGCAGAAAATCTGTACAATTCTTGTTTGTTAGCTATTTTGGTTGAAGTATTCTTTAATTCTGTGATAATGGTCTGAAATGACTGAAATGCTAGAAGATTCTTGAAGCCCTCAGAAATAGTTTCAGCTGCCTTGGAAGACTTGGATACAGTCCGTTGTCACTCCCAGAAAATAGACTTATTCTGAAAGTGGAAAGACTTCAAATATTTTTTATTTATATTTTTGAATTGACACACAGTACCGGTAATTACATATACTTATGGGGTACAGTGTGGGATTTCAATGCTTGTATACAATATGTAATGGTAAGATTGATTGTACTCCACTTTCTAATCTTGAAATATAGGAGATAGGGCCACAAAGTAAACTAATTCCCCACCACTTTGCTTTGTTGTTGATTGTGCCTAGCAGGAAATCTCTTCCTCTGTTCATATTTCCACGGGGAAAGGGCCCTCTGAGTCACTGGTCTCACTGTGCAGAATTAACCACGAAACTGTGCACACATACATTACATAGAGGGTGCCGTAAGCATGTTGTACACGGAGCTTCTGTTTGTTGAATAATACTTCAGCAAATACACATGCACACAAATTGATGCCTTGCTAGGTGGAGGAAACCTTAATTTGAATAAGACATCGGTGAAGGATATAAACTCTTGGATACTTAGTGTAAAAGAGGCCTTCGAGATCATCTTCAAGGTCACCTTCGCACCAAGCTTGACTCTGATACTGTGATAATTAATTTTATTGATTTCTATATGAAAGTACATGTGCAATCTCAGTTATTTTTCATAAGAGCATTGCGAGGTGTATCATGTTATTATCCCTGTTACACAGAGAGGGCACTGAGGGCTTGGACAGACTAAGTAACCTGCATTTGATCCGGTTGGCAGATATGAGATAGACTAAATCGGTTCCGGGTTACCTGCCCTTGAATATCATGCCCCGCTGCCTCTCAAATGCTGCTAGGTGCCGAGCCTCAAGCCTGCGAATGAGGGCGGGCACACTGCTTCATCCGATTCCTTGTGGACATTTCAGCGTTGTCAGAATGTTAAACACTACCAGGCCGGCTTTTTCTCTGTCAAGGAAGTTGTCAGTGGCCCACCACAGATATTTTTAGTATTTACTTACTATTCTGCCTGATTACAGTCTACTCAGAAGAAGAAAACTACACCAGGTACAATAGCTGAGAACTACCTCCCATAATTTTCAGCATAGTTTGATGTGGTGTCCCGTCAAGCAAGCTGTGTTGGTCGCATTTCACAGTCAGTGATCACTGTTCGTTGTTCACCCCGGGAGGGTGACTCGGAAACTCGCTTCACCTGCGAGTGAGTGTGAGGCGCGAAAGTCCTGCTTCACACTTCACCCCAGACAGGGGAGTAAATAAAAACAGTAAAAAGCCACAGCTCTCTGCTCTGAAGGACAGCCTTGTAAGCAGGGAGTTAGATGTGAAACACTAGGATTTCCGAAGGTTTAGGTTGCCGCAGATTAGTAAGGAGGAAACAGGCACATAGACTCGGCATCACAAATCAGATCTGTTCCTCCCCTGCCAGAAAGCTGCAGCTGTGTCCCCGGCTCCCACAGATGAGGGTACAAACTCTCCAGGAGTCTCTTCATGACCCTTCCTAATCTGACCCAACTTGTTTTTCATTTTTCCCAGCTCCTTCTCGTGTCTGTTCATCATTCCAGAGACATCCTCCCTCCTTTCTCCTTCGCTTCCTCTGCAGAAACCCTACCCATCCTTTACCCCCTTTATTTTCCTTTTTTTGAAAACAGTTGTAGGTTTTTAGATTTTAATAGTCAACTGGTGGTTTTTAAGAACTGAGAAGAAAAGTCAAAAAACAAAGATCTCTAATCCGTTGGAGGAATTTCCTGCTTTGTAATGAGATTTAAATTGAAGCTTTTCATTTAAAGAGAATATTCTCCGTTTTTAAAAGAAAAATTTCACTCATGATGCTGCACAAGTGCAGGTCTACACTTATCTATGTCTTCATCTTAGTTTTTTGGATTTGTTTTTTCTTCCTACAAATACGGTTTTTGGTTTTTCTTTTGCCCTGGTCTTCCTTAGCAGTTCTGAGCTCTACCTGGTGGGGTGGTAAAGATGTTTCTACCAGCGATCCATTATTTCACATAGGTCTGAGTGAACTAGTGTTCATGCGCTCTTGGCACTGTAAGGCCTTCCTGTGGGGAAACACATGTGGGTTTAGAGGGTGCGACATTAACTTCCTGATGGTGACAGAAAAGAGGCTGCCTTCTGTGTGGCTACAGCTCTGCTCCCACTGAACAGCAAATCCCCATTTCCTCTTCCCCCAGCCTCTGGCAACTACTGCTCTAACTTTAGCTTGGGAGAGTGTGACCACGGTAGATACCTCACATAAGTGAAAGCATTAATATTTATGACTGACCTATTTCACTCATCATAACGTCCTCGAGTTTCATCCATGTATTAGCCTGAGACAGGATTTCCTTCTTTTGTAGGGGCAAATAATGTTCCATTGTAGAAATACACCGTATGTTTTTTATTCATCTACCCATGGACAGTGAGGTTGTTTCTACCTCTTGGGCTATTGTGAATAATGTTGCAGTAAATACAATAATGAAAATATCTCTGGAAGCCCTGTTGTCACTTCCTTTGTATGAGTATCCAGAAGTGGGATGGCCGGATCACAATGGTAGTTCCTCTTTTAGTTTTGAGGAACTTCCAAGTGGTTTTCATTTGTGACCTGGCATGTCATATAACCACATCAGTGCACTAGAATTCTGAGTCCCCTGTATCTAAGGCAGCGCTTGTTATTTCCTTTATAGTGGTAACCCTAACGTAGGTGTAGCATAACCCTGTTGTGGTTTTGATTTGTATTTTCACTCAGTTGTTTCCTTTGTTATGCAGGAGCCTTTAAGTTTGATATAATCCTGTTAGTCTGTTTTATTTTTGTTGCTTGTTCTTTTGGTGTGTGCTGTGGTTTATGTCAAGAATGTCCCCCAAAGTCTGCAGGTACTCACAGGCAGGGCTTTTGGACGGTGCTTGAATCAGAGGGGTGAGAGAGCCGACTTGCCGCTAAGAGCTGGGTCGGGTAGGAGGAGGCAGTCGCTGGAGGCGCCGTCTGGAAGAGTAACCTCCCTTCCTGGCTCCAGGCTGCGCTCTGCTTCCTGGCTGCGGTGAGAGGAGCAGCTCTGCTCCCCCAGACCTCTCATGCTCCTTCTGCCGGGGAGCCAGCTGACCATGGACGGAAACCACTGCAAAAACGAGCCCCACAGACTCCTCCTTTACGTTGCTGGTGTCAGGTATTGTGTTCCAATAACAAGAAAGTGCGTAAGACAGTGTCATAGCCAAAAAGTCATTGCCAAGACCAGTGTTCATGAAGATTTTATCCTATGATTTCTTCTGGGAGTTATATAGTTTCAGGTCTTACAGTTAAGTCTTTAACGCATTTTGAGTTGTTTTGTGTGTGTTGTAAGATAAGAGGTCAGATTTCATTTTGTCGTAAGTGAGCACCAGTTTTCTGAGCACCATTTGGTGAAGAAAATGATTTTATCTCTTGAGTGCCAGTGTAAACATCAGGTTCACACTACAGATAAACTTCTGTAGTGAACTTCTGGGCGTACAGTTTTCAGTTTTTAGGATTATTTCTGTAGAGTCGTTTTTACAGAATAAGAATTACTGAGTCACCAGTGGAAGCAATATAAGGTTCTTGATATTTTTCACCTCCCATCAGTAGTCAACTTCTTCATCATTTAATGACCCTCATTGAGCAGTTTGCTTAAAAAGGAAAAAAGAAGAGCAAGCAATTAGGAATTTA